AAAGTTGAGCTGTATAAAAATCTACTAGATCAGTGAGTTTGATTATTTTAGACTGCAGAAATAAAGTATGAGTGTGATCTAGATATCCTGCCTTATGAATTGTTCTTATGGCGCGTTTCTGAAGTACAACCAGGGGATGAATTGAGCATTTGTAGTTATTGCCCCAAACCTCTACACAGAATGTTAAATATGGCAAAACTAGTGAACAATATAATAAATGTAATGCTTTATGATTTAGGAAGAATTTTGATTTATTAATGATCGAGATGCTTTTGGAGACTTTGCCTTGTATGTGTTTTATGTGTCGTTTCCAGCTGAATGTGTTGTCAATAGTAACTCCTAAGAGTTTCATCTCTGTTACGGTGTCTAAAGCCACCCCATGTGTTTGTATAACTATGTTGCTTTTGTATTTACTGAAAAACGTAATATTTGTTTTGTTTATGTGTTTATGGATAATTTGTTAAAGTCCATCCATGTCTTTAATTTGGCTAATTCCATGTTAATGGCATATACACTAAATTAACATAACTGTCATTTGAATAAAAAACATTGGTGTCATCTGCAAATATAACTAGTTTCAGTAACTTGGAGACACTAAATATATAATTGATGTACAAATTGAATAATTTAGACCTAAAACCGATCCCTGTGGTACCCCGCAGCCAATGTCCAAGTACCCAGAGGTAAACATACCCATTTTCACAAACTATTATAAAATTATAAAATATTGTATATTTAATATTAAATATAATAATTACTAGTGATATTTGTGAGTTAAATTTGATCATTGGTGCTGATGGGAGCGAGCTTTTATTTTGAATGTGTGTTATTTGCAAAGGGAGTCTCTGCGTCCACAGATCTGCCTCCAGAGGGAGCAGTCTGTGAACAGCAGATCTGGGCGTGTCCTATTCTGTGCATTAAAAGGAGACAGTGGGGTCTTTTGCCAGAGGGTTCCTCCAGCAGCAGAGCCCCCCGGCCTTCCCTGTACTTTGAGTTCTGTGAACATGCTCAAATTATATTCTCTGGCTACCGTCAGCACCAAAACAATAACCAGGATTCATTTATCTCCTTTCCAGTAATAAATTATGGATCGTGATGTAATGATGCCTATAAGAGAAATAACAATTTCGATAATTATAAATAATAATGACATCCATAACAATACCATAACAACCCCATAAATGCACTAATATAGACACATCATATTATTATACAATAATAATAAATATACTAATTATAATAGAATAGTATAGCAATAATAATAGTAGCACAAATAATATATATAACTTCATTAATGAGATCGGATTTGCCCTTTCAAATACCATAGAATTATGACAATGAAACAATTAAACCCCCATATATGTATCCAGAGGACGTGACTTGTATGTCCATGAAAACCTGTGTGTTTTTTAAAGTACTAACTTTAATAAACATTTGATTAGGATGTGTCTGGTCTATTCTTGTTTTAAATAATTTGTTCTTTCCTATTGTTTAGAAATAGTTCATGTTGATAGTTCCACTTATCAGAAGAGAAGTACTAAGGTTAAACATAAAACAAGGATTTATCTTCACCATTATTGACCCTTTTCCAATTTGTCTTAATCTAAATGTAAAATAATGTACCTACAGTAAAACTCTGACTTGTTTACACAGAGAGAAGAAAGCACCTGAGACATGGTTGAAATACAGATAAAGATGAAAGAAGCTGCTTGTACTTTATAATAATAACTATATACAGTTCAAAAATACAACATTTATGGTTTATTAAAATATATAAAAACAAGGTTCTTCTGTGAACAAGGGACTCAAAAGCTTCTTGATTATGGCCTGTAACCTCTCCTTCGTGTGTTTGAAATGTGTCTCTTTAGATTTTCAAGCTCATATGATGTTATTTTTACAGCTTCCCAAACGAGACCAGGTTCATGCATAGACCCAAATAAATGGCAACTGACAGTTTTACAGACTCTGATGTATGTTATATTGACAATGACAAAGGCTTTCCCACTCTTTTCTCTAATGTTGGAAGGTAAAAGTGTGTTTTATGATTAGGGTGGGATAATGTATGCTCAATGTTATTTTCTGTTCAAATATGGATGTTTTCTGATCTAAAACACTGACCTAAACACTGACATGAAGACTAACATACAAGTATTAAGAGACTCAAAGATTTATTGTCAAGGTTGTCATCCTTGATGATAGAGTGGGGGTGAGGAGTGAGGGGTGGGAGCACAGGGAGGGCAAGTAAAGAAGAGAGTTCAGCTTCCTGATGGCCTGGTGGATAAAAGGCTTCTTCAGTCGACTGGACCTGTCCCGTGGATTTCCCAGTCTCCTCCTGAAGGCATTACTTTGAGGGGCTGTTGTGGGTGCGTAGGATCCCAGGTCATTCTCAGGGCTTTGGGAGTGAGACAGGAGTGTTCTAATGCAGGAGAGAGGCTCCACAGATCTTCTCAGTTTCTCTCACAAAGCGCTGGAGGCTCCTGCAGCAGGTGGCAGAGCTGGCACCGTGCTACACAGTGATGGAGCTGCTCAGGATGCTCTCCAGTCTCTTTCTACAAGTTGCACATAACCGAGACTGGGACTCTGACGCTTCTCAACTTGCGCCGAAAGCCCAGAGGCGGATGACTTTTGTGGACCAGTGATGTAGTGTGCATGGTCCAGGAGAGGTCGTGTGTGTGCACATCAGGAACTTAGCGCTGGTCCCCCTCTCCACAGGAAACTGTTGATGGTTACAGGAGCATGGTGGAGCTGCACTCTTTGAAAGTCCAAAACAAGGTCTTTTGTCTTGTCCACATTTAGAGAAAGATGGTTCTATGTGCAGCACATGGACAGACTCCTCACTCCTGCAGTTTGCCTTGTCTCTGTGGCTGAGGAGTCCCCCACTGCTGTGACATCAGCAATACTGATGCAGATAGCAGCAGAGTCCTTGAAGCTGGAGGGTGGGGACTTCTTTGGTGCTGGAATGATGATGGTGTCTTTGAGGTGCTTTGGGAGCACAGCTGCAGAGATGAGTTAAACATGTCAATGTGAAGACTTCAGAGAGTTCATCAGCACAACCTTTCAGTACACACCTTGTCTTTAGTCTGCATCCGGCCTTTTGCGTACATTGATCCTACTCAGATGTTCTTTCACTTTCTGAAGACAGCTTCAGCCTCTGGTCTTCTGGAGGGGGTGGACTTTGGTGCCAGGGTTTTGTTGAGTGCCTCTGTTGAGAGAAAAGAGTTCATTCAGTGCATTCCACAGCATTTGGCACAACTATATCAGCTGAATTAACATGTTTGTTCCACATAAGACACCTGCTCTCTGGTAAAGGCTTCTCTCCTTTATCGTTGGAGTGTCTCCATCTGGGACTGCGAGTGTTGCTCCACTAGAGTTGCTCCACATTCACTTTCACTTTCAATTCCATAAGACCAGATATTTTATATCTTCCTAAAAAGTTACTCATTTCACAATTTAATTCCAAATTTGATAAACAATTGTGAACTTACCTTTTGAAATCTTTTGCATAGCATAGTACATCTTTGCCACATTTGTGGCTTTAGATTGTTAAGTTAATGTCAATTCGAGCTACAAAGAGATAATGCAGGTTAGACATCTTTTCTGCACAACACTAGAGATTGATTGGCCCTAGAGATGACCTGACTTTCACATGTATTTGGACATGAGGAGTGTGAGGAGAGAAAGAACACTCTCCCAAAGTGGACCCAGCTTGATTTCCTCCCCTCATTCCATCTATGGAAGGATGGTATATATTGGTAAAAGGGCTAAATACATTGCATGCACTTAAAAAAGAAAAACACATTACCTCATCCTTTACATCATGGGCTTTAGTTTGACAGAGACACATGGTTCCAGCCTCTCCAGGTGATCATGTTCAGGGCATGCAGGACCTATTGCAGGTAAGGGGCAAATGGGAACTGATAAAGAGCTCTGGGGTAACATACAGATAGAAATAAAAGATAAAAACATGAACCTTTAAAACGGCTGAGAGGGACTTGAGAAGTTTGCTGTGGCTGCAAACCTCTGACTGTTTTCCTGCAAGCCTTTAGCTGATACAGTTCATGATTTGTTTTAGCGTGGATTCCATTGACAGCTGCTGCCACCTGCTGGTTGCCAAACACAATCACCTTTGCTTTCCCTTCATTCAGACATAACAAGTTGTGGGCGAACCCTGGGGTTTGAGTGACAGTGGTCTGCATAAAAGTGGTTTGTATTCAACACATTGGCAGTTAGGAAGAAGTGAAAGATGGTTCTCTTGTTATGAAGTGGGAGCAGAGACAAAGGAAACAGTGCATATGATGATTTACCTGTGTTTGAAATGAAAACAAGGATATTAGCCTCCTCCTCCTCCTCCTCTTCCTCTTCGTCCTCGTCCTCGTCCTCCTCCTCCTCCTTCCTCTCGACTCTCTGACTTCACGGAAACAAAACAAATTAAATTCATTCCCTGGACTCCATGAGCAGATACAATAGACCTCTGTACCTGTGCTGTATATTCTTTGAGCAATTTTCAATGTTTTACACTTTCTCCTTTCTGTCTAAAAAAACTAAAAGAAAGAATAAATAAACGAGTGATTCCTTAAAGTAAAGTAAGTCATTCATCAAAACTCACCTTGTTTCCCTGAACAGCAAAGACACCTGCAACAGAAGCTATGCACCACACAACAATCCACACACAATCTTAGAAAAACACTTTTTCAAAGGGGATCAAACAAGGATCCAAAACATGTGCAACGGCAACAACAAACTGAACATAAAAAAATATAATTTGTGGGTTTTTTCAAAGGGGATCAAACGTGGATCCAAAACATGTGCAACGGCAACAACAACAAACTGAACGTGTTAAAATATTTTTTTTGTTTTTTTCAAAGGGGATCAAACAAGGATCCAAAAATATACAAACCATTTACAAAGTGATACTTAACCCTTCACCGAGACACAGCTCCTGGGGATCCCAGCTCTGCTTCTGCTCCTCCAAAGAAACAAAAGACAGAAAGGATCAGTTCTTAAAAATAGAAGGAGTACTTGTGTGTTATCGGTGGAATAGGCCTCTGCGGCTCACATGACCTTCTCTGCTCCTTCCAGGGCAGCTCCCGCTCCTTCAGGTACGCCTCCATCTCCACCACCCAGTCCGGGACCGGTCCAGGGAACAGCGGGGCAGGCTCCGGCTGCGAAACAACAGGGGCTAGTTTAACGCGTAACAGGCTAGCAGCGTCAGCAGGAGGAGCACGAGGAGGAGAAGACTTTCGTTTGCACTTACGAAAGTGAGGAGGAGACTCAGGGGGAGGAAGAGGAGCAGAGGGCTGAGCAGGAGGAGCAGAGGAGCAGGAGGCAGGAGGAACAGAGGAAGACTTGGCAGGAGGAGCAGAAGGGCGCCAAGTAGAAGGAGCAGAGGAAAGCTTAGCAGGAGGAGCATAGGGGCGGGGAGCAGAAGGAGCAGAGGAAAGCTTAGGGCGCTTAGCAGGAGGAGCAAGAGGAGCAGAGGGGCGCGGAGCAGGAGGAGCAGAGCAAGGCTTAGCAGGAGGAGCAGGAGGAGCAGAGGAAAGCTTAGGGCGCTTAGCAGGAGGAGCAAGAGGAGCAGAGGGGCGCGGAGCAGGAGGAGCAGAGCAAGGGTTAGCAGGAGGAGCAGGAGGAGCAGAGGAAGACTTAGCTAGAGGACCAGCTAAGCGCCAAGTAGGAGGAGCAGAGAAGCGCCAAGCAGGAGGAGCAGAGGAGCGCCAAGCGAGAGGAACAGAGGTAAGCTTACGTTGCTTACGAGAAGAGGCAGAGGAAAGCTTAGAGCGCTTAGCAGGAGGAGCAGAAGGACGCGGAGCAGCAGGAGGTACAGAGTAAGGCGTAGGAGTAGGAGGGGCAGAAGGGCGAGGGAGGAGAGAAGAAGAAGAGTAGAGAGAGATCCTCCCAGAACGAGGAAACTTGGCAGAGCTGCCAGGCATCGTGTGAGCGAGAGACTTAGCTTAAAAGCAGAGTCCTCAGCAGGAGGTGTGGAGGCCTGATGGAGTCCTCAGCAGGAGGTGAGGAGGCCTGATGGAGTCCTCAGCAGGAGGTGTGGAGGCCTGATGGAGTCCTCAGCAGGAGGTGAGGAGGCCTGATGGAGTCCTCAGCAGGAGGTGTGGAGGCCTGATGGAGTCCTCAGCAGGAGGTGAGGAGGCCTGATGGAGTCCTCAGCAGGAGGTGTGGAGGCCTGATGGAGTCCTCAGCAGGAGGTGAGGAGGCCTGATGGAGTCCTCAGCAGGAGGTGAGGAGACCTGATGGAGTCCTCAGCAGGAGGTGTGGAGGCCTGATGGAGTCCTCAGCAGGAGGTGTGGAGGCCTGATGGAGTCCTCAGCAGGAGGTGAGGAGGCCTGATAGAGGAGGAGCACAGGGTCTGTGGAGGAGGAACATGTGACATCACTGATGCTGCTTCATTTGAAGTTGACGTGAGATAAAGATGAAACATGATGCATTATTTGTGGCCATGAATCGTGTTTTGGGAAATGTTTAAACCAATTAAAAATGTATTGATCCAATATCTGCTCTGCCTCACTGTCAATCACCGATCACACGAGCTCGCTGTCTCAGTGCTACTATGACATCAGACTATTACAGGACTGAGACAGGAGCTTTCACACAGAAGGGGCGGAGTTACATGTTTGTGCCAGAGGTTCAGGATACCAGCGTGGATGGATCTAAAAACCACTGCAGGTCTGTTTTGGACCAGGACAATGTTGCATCATGGTTCATATCAGCTGATTAGAGTAAAGATCGTGGATACAGGTGGATCAGGTCTTTGGAAGAATGACATGTCTTCAAGTTTCAAATAGATGTGTTTTCTTTTGTTATAAATGTTACATTTAGTTTGTCTCAACAGATAAAGTCTGTTCAAAGTCAATGATTAGTAAACATTTCATCTTTGTATAGAAAGTGCTCTGTGAGTGGTTATTTGATGCTTTGTGCTGATTGGCTGAAAGAGGATGGTCTTATTCACTTTTGTGAAGTCAAAAACACAGACGTGTGAAACTAGTGATAGAACCAAAGTGTGTAAGAGCGAGGACCAGTTAGAAGAATGTATTTGCAGAGTTCTTTGTTTGTGGTTTGAAAGTCACGCTTGTAGATGTTCAAGAACCATTTGGACTGAATACGGCAGGTCTGCCAGGCTGAGTACATCTTCTCAAGAACAGACTTGTTCAAAATCACATGGATCATAATCTACATGTGCAGAATATTTGTTTGATTGAACTGTCTGAAATGTTCTCAGAGACAACAGTAGATACATCACTGCTGCGGCTGATGAAGACGTTTAGATGAAGCACAAACCTGTCTGTCATGTGGGTTTGTCACTTTAGACTCAACCTCAACATGTTTAAGGCACAGCTTTCATGTAGCTTGAGGACTTTTCATGTAACACTTATTATGATGAATATACTCAGCCTAATCTCTCTGTAAACCTGCTTTAGACACGGATCAAAATGATCTTTGTTTTCTGTTGTTGCTATATTTTGCTACAGTCTGTGTGTGAGTAACACAGGCCAAACCCATAGGGACTAAGGTGAACCGGGAAAGTGGAAAAGCTCACGTTTTTTCCTCAGAAAAGTCTTGTAGTTGTGGTCAGGAGTGGGTCAGCAGCAGTCTGGGTGGAAATGGTCTGCAGTGATGTCTCCTGTTTGAAGAAATCGTCGAGTAAAGTTTGACAAAATGAGTTTGTGTCTCAGCCAAAGTTTTGCACGGATGCAGTGATTCAAAAGATGCACAGGCCTTAGCAACGCCACCTAGCAACAAGAGGTAGGTGCGCGTGCTCATCTCGCATGCACGAGCCGTGGTTATTCCAAAAATACTTCTACATTTTATCTCGGACATTTGAGGAAGGTTACACGTTTCCACATGCACATATGATGTTAGGACAATGGCTCCCTCTGCTGGTGGCATCTGCGGTCTGCAAATGCTACCATGGACAGCTCAGTCATCCAATGCAACAAGAAACTTATAAATTATAATACTTTCTTGTTCTTTTTGCATCAGCAGGACACTTTTGGTAAAGGATATACTTTTAAAAACGAGCAGAATGAACAGTAAGATGTTTAACTATAGCAATGCATAGGTTTGTATCTTATGTCTTTTTAGGAACACAAACTATAAAATAATGTTTAAAGAACTAGCATGCATTAAAGGGTTGGAATTTATATAAAATAATTTACAGTAAATATTTTGTCATTGTTTAGTTTCTCACTTTAACTGATGTTATTTTATACAAATCACTGCAATAAGTTACTACATCATGGATACGAATAGTGAACCTGCTAAGCCTTATAAAGAGAGTCAGTTTATATACTTGGATATTTGTGGCTAATTAAAATCCTTAAACCTGAGATGCTTTTATGTGTTTTCTGCCTTATACAGAATCAGCCCCTTACAGCCAGTGATGGGGGACTGACTAAAAAGATCCAACATTGATGAATGTTTGTAAATGAATGTGATAACTGCAGGAGATACAATACACTGAAACATATACACTCTCCTTGCCAACATAATTACCCTGCACAGAGGCAGTGTGATTGTCACCGTGTGTCTGTTTGCCGGTTGACAGGATTATGCTTAAATGACTGGACGGATTGAAGTTTTTTTCTGGAGATGGGACCCATTGAGTGCACGCTCTAGTTTTTTTCCGCACACCAGAAGTTCTCTTTGTGTAAAGATTCTGTGCTTTGTGCTGTTCCTCTTGTTCTGGGTTAGGGTTAGAGCTGTGGATTGTGTGGAGCTGTGTGCAGGATGTTACTGCCCTCTGCTGCTACATGTTTGAAGACTGTAGACACTGTTCTGTACTTCACTGATCTGAACACACTTTTTTTTTTTTGAAATGGCAAAATTGTGAGTGACCTTTATGAGCAATGTTTGATTGCCTTGGATTCAACTCGAGAAGGATGTTGACCAATCCTGCTTTTGTCAGTGTTTACAAATTGTGCTCAATTCTCTTCTCCCCACGGTTTGTTTCATGCATACAGTATATGAATAAAAGAATGAATGAATTAACACTTTTATTTTGAGCCATGGCAGACAAGAACAAAGAACAACAACAATTCACTTTGGAGAGACCCAAGAGGGAAAATGCAGTTAGAAGTTTGTTGATTGAGTATGTTTGGCGCCCTAGGCCCGGGAGAGATGCTGATGAGTGCGGCGCTTGCTCGCGCACATAATCCCCCCCGGGGCCTAGGCACTGGTGACGGCAGAGGCAGCAGGCGAGCACGCTCTGAAGAGAGAAGGAGGAGGTGGGGCGGCGGAGGCTTTGCAGACTTCAGAAGGCCGGGAAGTGGGCGTCTCCGGCTTTTAACTTGCTGTCCTGGTGGTTATTGGTGGATTGGATGTGGGCGTTTTGCTGGTGTAATGAGTAGAGGATGAGCAGGCTTGTAGCAGCGGCCGGGTCTACCACAGTGAACTTTCGCGAAGAGCTTCATTTCACTTTGGAGAGACCCAAGAGGAAAATGCAGTTAGAAGTTTATTGATTGAGTATGTTTGGCGCCCTAGGCCCGGGAGAGATGCTGATGAGTGCGGCGCTTGCTGGCGCGCATAATCCCCAAAAACGGGCAGAGTTATCTTTGAGCGCTGGGACGTGAGCGCTCGCTTCACGATCGATACCAGACGCTGAAGCAGAGTTATCTCTGAGCGCCGGGACGTGAACGCTCGCATCACGATCAACCGGACGCTGCCTGGGACGTGAGCGCTTGCATCACGGTCGATACCAGACGCTGAAACAGAGTTGACTTTAAGCGCCGGGATGTGAGCGCTCGCTCACGATCAACCGGACGCTGCCTGGGACGTGAGCGCTCGCATCACGATCGATACCAGACGCTGAAACAGAGTTGACTTTAAGCGCCGGGATGTGAGCGCTCGCTCACGATCAACCGGACGCTGCCTGGGACGTGAGCGCTCGCATCACGATCGATACTAGACGCTGTAGCAGAGTTGACTTTAAGCGCCGGGATGTGAGCGCACGCATCACAATCAACCGGACGCTGCAACAGAGTTGTCTTTGAGAAAGTGCGTGCCGCCACCAGAATCTTTATTGGATCACTTACTTTGCTTCGTATTGCTTTGCTGGGAGCTTACGAAGAAGCCAGTAGCCATTGTGCAGCCAGGATGGCGGACGCGTCTGGCCTGATGTAGGCGGAGAAAGCCGAAGAGGACCAGCGCCCCAGCTGTTGCAGAGAGGTTGGGGAGCCCCAGCGAGGCCGCGTGCGTGGCAGCGCCTATCCTGAAGGAGTGGGCTGTGTAGAGCTGGGGAGACAAATTACAGAGGAGCAGTAGGGATCTTAGTTGAGCTCTGAACCAGGTTGCTGTCATGGGAAGAAGTCTGGAGTGAGAAATAGAGGTCTGTTAAACTCTCCTTTTTGCAGCGGAGGCGAGTGTAACGCATCATGGACCTGTAGGGGCAGAGAGATGTGTCCGAGCGAGCTATTACTATATTGCGGGCTCCTTTGATTTTTGAATGTTTAAGATGGAGGTTGAAAGGGTCTGGGGACATTATGTTGGGTGAAAAAGAGCGACCTTTGTTTAATGCTTCCACTACGTCGAGATTATCACACATGACAGAGATCCTCTTTCTCTGCCACGTGTGATTCCACGGCGCGCAGGCCACGACCACTGGGAATATCTCGTGTAGGGCAGAGGAGATGCTCCGGTGGAAGGTAGCGGCCACGGCCCGGCAACCCAATGGTCCTGGAAGAACCCCCCAAAACCCACGGAAGGGGCACGTCCGTGTAGAAGCGGAGACCTGTAGGGGCAGAGACATATCGGAGAGGGCCATTGATGTTGCAGGCGCCCTTACGCTTAGAATCTTGGGTTGGAGAGTAGATAATCAGGATAGTAGGATGGTCGGGAAAGCCGTGTCTCGGACCGCATGAAGGTTGAGTGAGCAGTAGTGAAACGCTTATGCAGAGAAGCCACAGAAGGAGAGCAGGAAGAT